GAAGGTACAGCACAGAATCAAAACATTTGTATTTTCATCTCAATTGGCTTCTGGCAAATATGGCAGACACTCAGCTGCTCTGCACAAAACTGACATGCGCCGTGACCACAGCGGAAAATTACGTCCTTCTTCCTTTCCACGCAAATACAACACACAACAGATTCCTCCAATTTCCGAAACTTTGCTTCAAGTTGCTGATATCCCAAGACCAAGGATTTGTTGTTAATTCCGATGATTGGGTTACCATCTGTGAAGTTAGAGCGAATGGAATTAAATAATACTTTCTGCAAAATTCCCCAAAAACAAACCCAATGATAATATTATTTCGAAGCTGACTAAGAACCTTTTTTTCCTTGCTTGCAAAATCTGGATATTTTCGAACACTCAGTAAAGCTAAAGTCAGTTAAAATGAAATTCATAAAAAAATTCAAACTGATTAAGAATCAAAAACTCAAATTACACGACAAATCATTAGAGAGCCTCACTGCAAACCACCTTGTCGAGTTGGGTTCCCTCATTAAACACTATCACAACGGTTTAATAAGTAAGTTCAAGTAAGGCCTGCTTGTCTCTTCTCTATTAGGAGTAGATACTAAACTTCCACGCTTTTACCGATCCACGTCATCATCAGGATGATATGGTGTGAGTCGCGACTACGAATCGGCGAAAGCTTGCAATTATAGTTTTTAGCGTTAAAAGTTGCATCGGCCTCGCCCCGCCAGCGAAGGACAACATCTAAAGATTAGAAACATCATGATCATTTGTGCAAGTTACCTCTCGTTCCTTTACCAGTAATAGGCGTTTTACATTCCAAACATCTCTTCAACTGAGCTGCACATTCTGAAAACATATTATTACGTTAATGAGCACCAAGATCAAGATCGCTTTTTTAAACTAATCTGTGTTAATCTTCTCCACACTTAATCATAGTCGGTCCTCCTTAGCTCATTCTCATACCTTATTCGCGATTTTCCTCTCAAGGAAAACAGCTATTGTAAAGACGCGTTCTTTTTCGTAGTAATTTTCTATAACCGACGCTTGAATTATTACAAGGCTCAAAATTTGAGTGATCAATATAGAACAAAAACACATCTAAAATAAAAAAAAGCAAAACTACCTATGCATACAATTGTGTGGCCGCAAGGTTTGAATGCAACAACAGCCTCAATCTCCTCACAGATATAACACAGCAGTTTTTGATCATCAGATTTAAACGCATTTTTGTCTTCATTTTCTGTGTCCTGGCCCATATCTACATCGTGGTCTTCAAGTTGTGTTTGTGATGGTGGCACCTCGCCATCGCTCATTTCTGTGTCGGCGTTATTCCCTTCCAGTTCTACAGATTCGACAGCGTTGTTGTTTGAAATGTCTGAGGCCCAGGTTTCCGCCTCGACCTGATTGGTCACTTCCAAGACAATATTCTCCTGTTAAAAAAATAATAGTATTGAAAAATTTGCTCAACTCCTTTGATTTATTTTAGTTTTGAAAGGTTCTCATTAAAAAGTGAGTTTCCGTGGAGAATTTTAGTCTGGCCATGAACCATTTGTGATCTAGAAGAGAGAACGGTGAGGTATTTTCGGGAGAGTATCACCACTTCACCAGCTACAGGACCAAAATTAACGGAAGAAAAGTGATCGGAAAATCCCCAACAGCTGTTCTGTCTAAGGTAGATGTTTTGCTCACGGTCATTATCTGAAACGAGGAACAGATGGTTTGAAAACAAAAAATCCGTTGAGTGATCGAGTAAGACTTCTAACAGTATGGTGGTAACTGAAACATATCATTGTAATAGGTCTTTATAGATGCAAAGTGGTACCACTCGAGTACTTTTAACTTATAGCGCTGCTTAGACCACTTACCTGGCACGATGTGTCTTCTTCCATTACATTTTCCACCGGG